AATAAATTTTAAAATGTGGTGAAATACATGGACTGATTTTCAAGTGTGAAATTAACCTTGCATTCCTGTAATAAAGCTTATTTGGTTCTTTTCATGTATTGCTGGTGCTGAGAGATATTTAACACTAATTGGTGGGGGATTAGAGTTGAAGGGTGGATTTTAGGAAGAAAGGGAATGGATTTAACATGAAGAGAGCAGAGCTTAAATCTGTGAGTATGCATTTAATACTAGAAGTCAACAGTTTGTTTAATTTCGTTTTTTGGGCTTGAATCCACCACCCCGATCTCAAGACCTGAGATCAAGAGTCAGACACTTAATCAATTAAGCATCCAGGCACCCCTAGAAGTCAACATTTAAGGGGTGCCTGGGTGGCACAGTCAGTTGAGCATCTGACTCTTGGTTTTGGCTCAGGTCATGATCTCAGCCCAGAGTCTGCTTAAGACTCTCTCCCCCTCTCCCTCTCTGTCTGCCCCTCCCCCATCTCTAAAATAAATAAATAGATCTTACAAAAAAGGAAGTCAACATTTTAAACTAAAGATATATGTTTCAGAAACTCAATTATTTGGCTTAGATTGAAGAAGTGGGGGGAGGGGCTCCTTACTGACTCAGTGGAGCTTGTGATTCTTGACCTCTGGGTTGTGGGTGCAGGCCCCACCATGGGTGTAGAGATTACTTAAAAATAAAATCTTAAAAAAAAAAAAAAGGATGAAGAAGTGGGTCTGAAGCTAAGCAAGGAGGCTTATACTTCAGAAGCGGAGCCTGAACCAAGGGATTGGATTTAGAACTAGAAATTCCAGAGGATAAATGTAACAGCAAAAGTCAAGAGGCAGGATGGGGACAGGGTTGAGGGGTGGAGCTTTGAACTGGAAGACAGGGCTTCAAAATTAGAGGAGAGATTTAGAACCAGAGGGGAGAGTGGTTCCGAACCTGAGACAGGTCTTCAAATGAAGGGCATGATCTCAAGTACAAAAAGGGGTTTAAAATGAAAGGCAATGACAGGGGGGAGGAGCTTGAAATGAAGTGGGAGGGGCTTCAATGCCCAAAGGGTTTTCAGGGGAAGATGGCGGAGAGGGTGGAGTTGGGGGACATACCTGGGGGGAACCAAGGTGTAGCAGGTACTCCAGGGTCTCCCTCAAGGTGCCCAGCTCCTGTTCCAGACTGCTGTATGCGTCCCAAACCCGCTCTCGCTCCTCAGGTCCCAAAAAGGGGGAGACACAGGTTTAGTATGCCCACCCGCCAGATCTTTCCCCACTCCATTTTTTCCCAGCTGAGGAGGAAGAGAAGCCTGGTTCCTAGTGCCCTGGGGGGTATATGCACTACAATTCCCAAGAGCCTCTTCGCTCAGTCCACTAGGATCCCCAGAGTCTATATGGAACCTGCCATTCCAATGAGCTGCTAGTGTAGACAAATAACAGATTTTCCTAAATTCTCTGACTACCTTTGAACTCCCCTAGGGAGATAGACTCTACAGATCCAATAAGCTCTTGGGACAGTCAAGATCACGAGCCCCAAGTGCCCCCCGGGGAAGCATCACCATCATCATAGCAGTTAACATTGATTAGGCACCTACCATGTGCCAGGCACTGTTCTTAGCTCTCATTTAATTCTCATGAGGTAAGTATTATTAATGTCTCCATTTTACAGATAATAATTATAGCTAATATTTCTTACCATATACCAGGCACCTGTTAAATACTCATATACACTTCTTCTTCTTTTTTTTTTTTAAGATTTTATTTATTTATTTGAGAGAGAGGGAGAAGCAGACTCCCCGCTGAGCAGAGAGCCCGATGCGGGACTCGATCCCAGGACCCTGGGATCACGACCCGAGCCGAAGGCAGACACTGAACCGACTGAGCCACCCGAGAGCCCTCATATACACTTCTAAGGTATATATTTAGATGACATTTATATGATTTATATTTATATATGTATATATTTATATGCTATATATAAGATATATAAATATATAAAATACATTCTATATTAAATATAATACATCAGTGTTTATTCATTCATTCATGTATGTTATGTATAAATATATGTATTTATGAAATTCTTATTTCACTTATGAAATTCTTTCAGGTTTACATAAGAGGTATCTAAGGCCCAGAGGGGTTAAGTAACTTCTCTAAGGTGACACAGCTACAATGAATAGGAGTCGGAGTTGAGATTCAAAGCTAGGAAGCCCATATCAAATTCACCCTCTCAACTCACTAAATTAAGTCTCCTGTTTCTTGGCTGCTTGCCTCTCGCCCTCTAAGACTGTCAAGATGACTGATTTAAAACTTGGGGTGGGGGGAGGGCACCTGGGCGGCTCCATCAGTGAAGCACCCGACTCTTGGTATCAGCTCAGGTCATGATCTCAGGGTCGTGAGATGGAGCCCGGGGTCCAGCTCCGCGCTGGGCATGGAGCCTGCTTAAGATTCTCTCCCTCCATCTCCCTCTGCCTCTCACTCCCCTAAAAAAGAAAAAAACTTGGGGAGAGCAGAATTCTCAAGAACAACCTTCCCATGAGCTTCTGCTGTCGGGTTTCCCTTCGCTAACACCCTGTAGAGTCCTCCTGGGAGGGCACGCTCCTTCCCAGATGCTCACCTGAGTCAGGTGACAAAGAGTAGCCCTCACACTGACCAGTCGGTCCTGCAGGAGGCGCTGGTGCCCCCATGCCCTCCCTGGAGCCGCAGCCTCTCTGGTTTGGCCCAGCTGCTGCCTGGTCAGCTCCAAGGCAGCTTCTAGCTGCTCCTGCACCAAAAGGGAGGGTGGTTAGGCTTCTGAATCCACATTCAGCCCCAGGGATAGAGAAAAGGTGTCCTCCCAAATCCTTGGGTGTGCTGGGGAGCAGGAAGGGAGAGGCCAAACGTCCTTCCCCATCTCAGAGCCTCATACCTTCTCCTCCTGCCTCTGGTCTAGCTCCTCCTGCAGCCTCCTCAGGAGCCGGTCCTGCCCACACAACTTGGTCAACAGAGTCTGGAGAAAGGAGAAGAGGTGCTACTTATGGACCAGACCTGTCTCTTCCCCTGTCCTCCCTGCCACTCCCCACCCCCACCACCATCTAAAGCATTCTCCCCCAACTCTGAGTACTTGGAAGGGTTTAAACCACAGAAACTTACATCTGTCTCTAAGCTTTGGGGAAAACTTGAGTCCAGGGGGGGACCTGGCTGAGGAGAAGGAGAAAAGCCAGGGGTCACATGGACAGACAGGCCTTTATTGTAGCTCAGTGCTCAGTCAAGCCCTGTTTCTATTGATAGACCCCCTTTTCCTTAGTAGCTTTTTTTTTTTTCTTCCTTTTTTTAAATGTAAGCTCCATGCCCAGCATAAGCTCCAGCGTAAGTGTAAGCTCCAGAGCCCAACCTGGGGCTTCAACTCATGACCCTGAGATAGAGACCTGAGCTGAGATCAAGAGTTGGATGCTTAACTGACTGATCCACCCAGGCACCCGCTTATTAGCTTCGTTCCAAGCTTTAGCAGACCTCAGGAGACCACATGCCAGATTCCTGGCTTTAGGAAGATCCAATGACTCTGTTATCAAAAAGCTTCAGCAATGTTATAATTAATGGAGAACATTTAGACATTTCTTTTACAACTGAAAATAAAATAAGGATGCTCGCTACTATTGTTACAGTTTAACACTGTATTAGAGATCTTGACCAATGCTATAAGAAAAGAAAAAGGAAACAAGTAGAAGTGTAAGAATAGGAATGATATGCTCATCGACCCAGAGAAACCAACGAAATCAAAGAGTGATTAGAATAAGAGAATTTAGGGGCGCCTGACTAGCTCAGTTAGTGGAACATGTGCCTCTTGTTCTTGGGGTCTTGAGTTCGAGCCCCACGTTGGGTGTAGAGATTACTTAAAAAAAAAAAAAAACTTAAAAAAAAAAGACTAAAAGAATTTAGCAACGGTGCCAGATGAAAGATGAAGTTCCAAACATCAACAGCCTATCTCTACACCATCCATAGCTAGAAAATATAATTTTAAAAAAAGAAGATACCATTTAAATAGCTATAAAAACTATCAGGAATTTAGGAGTTATCTTCTGCATTATTTTTTTTTATTCTTATGTTAATCCCCATACATTACATCATTAGTTCTAGATGAAGTGTTCCATGATTCATTGTTCGTGCACAACACCCAGTGCTCCATGCAGAACGTGCCCTCCTCAATACCCACCACCAGGCCAACCCATCCTCCCACCCCCCTCCCCTCTAGAACCCTCAGTTTGTTTTTCAGAGTCCATCGTCTCTCATGGTT